GGAATGCCTGGTCCCTGTGACTTGCCCTTTGGTTTATGAGGGCCACCTCACCAGCACCAACCTTTGCTCCCAAGTGATCTCCTATTAGACCAGTGGTGGCAGGCCATCTCAGAGGGCCAGTGGCTTGCAGAGGGGCCAGGGCGGTCCTGTACCTGTAGCCTCCAGAACCATGGGGACAGGACGACGCAGCCAGTCTTTGCGAGGACCCCGACCCGCCTATGGAAAGCTCAAGGAGCCCTGGGGGAGGCCCCGGGAAAGCCAACTCCGCAGGGCATTAAGCCTCAGACAGGGGCATGAGAAGTCCAGGTCTCAGGGCCTGGATGTGGGCACAGAAGGACTGGATGTCCCTGCTCAGGAGCGGCTGGCAGGCAGCCCAGAGGACACAGAGCAGCTGATCCAAGCCAGACGAGAAGGCAGCCGGCGGTGGCTGAGGCAGTACCAACAGGTATGGCTGAGGGCTGAAAGATGGAGGGGCGCCTCGGTGGGAGAGTCAGGACTCCAGGGAGAGGGACCCAGGGCAGCAAATGTTTAAAGGGGGAAACATACAGGGCCATGTACCAAGTGGCCATAGATGATGAGGTTGGAGCTGGAAAGAGACATTCTCAAGAACTGTATTTCAGAGGGTCCTGGGGGGCTTTGAGGATCATCCCATAGGCACTGGAGAGTCACTGAAGGTCTTAGAGCAGGAAGGGGATATGGTCAGAGCTGTCAGATGACTCATTGGACAGTATGTTGGATAGGTGAGTACAACAAGGGACAGGGAGATCATCCGGTACCACTTCCCAAGAGTGATGTGTTGTGCTCTATTTATCCCAGGGAAGAGGGGAGACATGGACCCCTCTGTGGGGAGCTGTGGGCTCTTGGCCCCTGCCTTCTTCCTCTAAGAGAAAGGGTTGCTAGTGAGCAGTGCTTCTCTCCCTGGGGTCTACCCCCACCTCGTGGCTATAGGTGGAACAACACCTGAAGCCCACCACTCAGCCAGGGGCCCTGGTCCCCACCTCTGTCTTCCATCAGGTGAGGAGGAGGTGGGAGAGTTTCGTGGCCAGTTTCCCAAGTGTGACCCTGAGCCGGCCAGCCTCACCAGAGTCGCCCCTGGACACCACCAGTTAATGTCGCCGGAAGCAGTGGATGAGACACACCTGGATGAGACAACAGCATCTGCCACCCTGCCCCTTCGTGGCTCTTCTGGACTGTGGACAGGGCGGACTCCTTGACACGCCTGCTGTGGCCTTCCTCACGTGATCCAGTGAGGCCTCTGCCACCAGCTTCCTTGAATGCCATGCCACTGCCCCCCTCGGCCCTGACTCTGCCTCCACAAGGCTGCTCCCAGCAAAGATTACTCCCCACCCAGGGCTGAAATGCAGCGGGCTCCACTCTCTGCCCTCTGTGCTTGGGGGCCCCTTGGAATATGATGCTTACCAGTGGCTTAGAAGCCTTCCCAGAAGAGGAGATGCAAATGCCCCTGCCCGGAATAAGAGGAGTCATCAACTTCCAGGATGGAGCCAGGTGAAGCCAGACCCATGGCAGAAAGGCTCTTAAACATTGCCTGGTGGCTGCTCCGACCCAGCTGCCCTTCTTGCCAGCTGCTAATAGCGGGTCAGGACATAGTCTCCCTCGTAGATGGTGAGCCCCTAAGGGCAAGGACCCTGTCTGGGCAGACCCTCAGGACACTGTGTGGCTGAAAGTCCAGGCCTGCAAGTCTCAATGAAGGAAGCAGGGATAAGCTTCTCTCCTCATGTGACAGAAGGGGAAACTGAGGCTGGGGGGAAGGATTTTTTGTTGGGGCATATCTGGTCCCTTGCTGACTCAAAGCCTCTCCCAAGCCCTGAGAGACAGGCAGAGCCCATGGCATGGCATCCCAGAATGGTGGGGCACGGATGCCAGGGTTAGTTTTCTGCAAATCCCACAGGAGGCCTAGCCTTTCCTGTGGCTTCTCACCTTTCTCCCTAGAGGGTTTGTACCTACCTTGTGTCAGCCTCGAGGCCATCTTCAGAGAACCTGGCTCTCCCAGCCTCCCATCTTCCCATTCTCCCCCCAACCTGTGAGGCAAGGCTCACTCTGAGTCTCAGAGAGGACAAAAGTCTTGCCTAGGGCCACACCCAGGGGAAGGGTCAACTCCGAAGAGTTTGAGCTCTTTGAGAGGCACTGGCACATCGTGAGGGACCTCTGAGACTCTCTGGGCTCAACCAGACCCAAAATCAAAGGTGAAAGAACAACTCCACATCCTGGTGCAAAAATCTGTGTTTCTTTTTATTTTTGCTGTTGAGGGGAGGGGGAGGTAGTCTAGCAGATAAACGGTGAGTTCCTGTTTCCCCAGAGCCCAGGACCCTTTAGTCCCAGACAGCCCAAGATGTGGCGTACAAAATGTTAGATCATTGGGAAAGTCATGACAAATTTTTGCATAGAAACATACGTCAGGGCCAGCAGGTGGCATGGTGGTTAAAAGCGCTGGACTCCCACACGGCCAACCGCAGTTTGAGTCCTGGACCTGGTAGCTTGCTTTCTCACTTTCTCTCTCTCTCTCTGTACCTTTCTGGCCAAATTAACCAATAAAGTTAAATAAAATAATTATTTTATTTTTTAGGGGAAAAAAAAGGAAAGAAACTTGTCATGTCTTTCCTAATGACCTAATAGATTGGAAGCTGACCAGACACTTTGAACCTTGTTTTTCTCAGACTTTGGATGGCACCTGCTCAGCTCTTTCTTTAGGAGGCCCTGGAATGTCTCTGGGGAGCCCCATGACTCCAGGGAACACAATGTGAGTCCACGGCTCTAACTCATTGTCCTTTTAGTGTCTGTAGGAGGGAACTGTCCTTGAGACAATTCCCTGCTGTCCTACTTGTCATATCTAGTTATAGTTATGTGCTTTTTTCTTCCACTAGACTGAAAATTTCACAGGGACTGGTCTGTTCACTCCTGGGGCCTCAGTTCCTAGATTTGGGCCTGGCACAAAGCCAGTCTGGGGGAACAAAATTCAAACCAGCAGAGGCTGGTAGTTTGACATGCACTGTTTCTAATTAAAACACACCCCTTCTTTCACATCGGCCCAGTGGGAGGGGAGCTCAGAGCTTGGGGGGAATTTCTCTGGGAACCATCTTATTAGTAACCTGAGGATAATACCAAGAACAAAGTGTTTGAGATGCTGTCCTGGAAGGAACGAAGCTACCTGGTGTTGCGGACTGGCTGCCACAGCTGGGTATAACAACAAGCTCCCAGGTCCATTAGGAATCTAGTCTGTAAGCTTGTGAATGCCGAAAGGGTGCCCAAGGAGTTTCTCAATCGGATGACCACACTTTGGTTTGTAATAGTCTCTGGAGAACCTTGTTACTTAAACAGAGGAAGAAAAAAGAAAAGAAAATAGTGTTTCTGGACTACTCCCTGTGGCTGTACCTTCTGCCAGGCACTCTGCCAGGGCCATCTGGGGAAACAGTGTAGTTCAGTGGTTAGAGTGCTGACACCAAAGTCACACTACCTGGGTTTGAGTCCTGACACTACCACATGGTCACTCACCTTCCTTGGTTTTTTCATTTCTAAAATGCAGCTAATAACTGCACTCAGCCTCTAGGGTCATTGTGACCATCCCATGAATATAAGATGCATAGAATTGCCCAGAACAGAGGAAACATTCTTATAATTTCATACAATCCTCATAATAGGCACCAAGAGTACATCATCTCCTTCGCTCTTTAGGTGGAGAAGAATTGGAGATCTCTAGCTGTTAGCATAATGGCTATGTTGCTGGACTCCCATGTAGTCGACCACGGTACGAGGCCCAGACCCGGAGGCTTAAACTCACACCAGGCGCATGTGCATGAGTGCCCAAGATCCCGAGAGGAGAATGGAGGAGAAGGGATTGCAGCGTGGCCATTGCCCTGAGGGGTGATTTCTCACTTTCTGTCTCTCTGTCTCTCTTTCTGGTGAGTGCATGCACCCTATAGCAAAAACCTCTCCAAAAAAAAGAAAAATAAAAAAGGAATGGAGATTTCAACAGTGAAGTGGGGCTCAGAGAGCACATAGTCTGGACCCAGGGCCTGAAATCTCCAAGACTGCACTTGGGAATGTTGGTCCCAGAGTGCAGGCTCTTGGGGACAACATACCCATGAATCTACATGGGCTTTTCCTCAGCAGAGTCCTCTGGCCAAGCCCTCCAGGCCACATGATGACCCACAGGTGCACAGTTTGAATGGGGAGAGATGCTTTTCTGGGAAGCTTTTGCAGTGTTGGTGAGCGACGTCATCACTAGGCAGGGAGCAGCAGGTCTGCAGGGGCTGTCAGGTCCTAAGTCAGTGAGTGAAGAACTGGGCTAGGATGGGCCTGAAATTAGCAGCTCATGACAGTCAGGGAATTGGGAAGGCAACTGAGAGCCTATGACAGGCACTGCAGCCCCAGGTGAGGCACATGGAGAGGCAACTCTCATTCCGGAGGGTCCCACTCAATCTGGGGGATCAGAGGTGGCTTTTGTGGGGAAGCAATACCTTCTCTAACATTGCGAATTCTACAGGCACCGGTTCTGATGTCATCTCCCTTCTGTCGCAGGCCATTCCCCCTCTGCTCCTGCATTCCAACCACACTGTCCTTTCATAGCCGGGGGTGGCCCAGCTCCCTTTCACGCCCTGGCCTCTGCACATACCATTTCGTCTGCCTAGAACACCCTTCTCTCTCCCTTTTCTTCTACCTTGATTCAAATGTCACTTCCTCAGAGATGTCTCCTACTGTCCCCTCAGGTTGGGCAAATCTTTTGTTATTCATCTCCTGGAATCATAGGCTTCTTCCTCAGAGCACTCTCAGGTGTAGAGTGGGTTCTGTGGTGACTACCAAAAGATTTGCCCAGGGACCAGCAGATGGCATAATGGTTACATTGCTGGACTCCCACGAGGTTGACCATGGTTCGAGTCTCAGACCCAGCAGCTTAAAACTCACACCAGGCGTGTGTGCCCAAAATCCCAAGAGAATGGAGGAGAGGGGATTGCAGCGTAGCCATCCCCCCTGGGGAGGGGAGGTGATTTCTCACTTTCTGTCTCTCCAGCGAGCACATGTACCCTATAGCAAAATCTCTTTTAAAAAAAGATTTGTCCATGTTCTGATCCAAGAACCTGTGTGCATGACCGTATTTGGAAAAAAGTTCTTTGCAGCTATAATTAAGGATCTTGAAATAAAGAGACCATCTTGGATTATCCAGCTAGGTACTAAATCTAATGACAAAATTATTTTTTTAAAGAATTATTTATTTAACTTTATTTATTCATTCATTTTATTTTTAATTTGACCAGAGAGGGACAGAGAGAGAGAGAGAAAGCAAGCCACCAGGTCCCATACTCAAATCGTGATCAGCCATGTGGGAATGTTCAGCGCCTTAACCACCATGCCACACACTGGTCCCTGACAAAATTCTTTATTAGAGAGACACACACTCAAAGGAAAGGACACTAAGGAGAGGCGATCTAAAGATAAAGACAGAGACTGGAGTGATGTGCCCACTAGCCTAGGAAACCAAGCATTGTGACAGCCACCAGAAGCTGGAAGAGGTAAGGGAGGAGTCTCCTGTGGAGCCTCGAGAGGGAGGGCAGCCCTGCCAGCACCTTGACCTTGGACTTCTGATCTCCAGAACTGTGAGAGAACGAATTTGTATTGCTTTAGGGCTCTGCGTTTGGGGTAATGTGTTACAGCAGCCACAGGAAACTAATACAGTGTATTTGTGGGATTATACCTGGAGCAGAGTCCCCTGTACCCATTTGGACTATGACATGGGTACAAAACAGGCCTTCATGTTGAGCCCCTGATTTTGGGCAGTTGCTCATTACAGCCACATCAGTAATACACGGCTTCCTCAGGAACCCGGAAACTGGAAATGAGGGCAACTGTGTCTCTTCTTATTCACCGTGAACGGCTCACCTTGGACAGTGTCTGCCATTTTACGATTACTCAGGAAGCATTTGTTGAATTAGTGAATGCTAAGACCTGGATGAGGAGGAGTTAGCCAGGTAGAGGGAGGGGTAAGTAGTTCAGGTGGAGCGAGCACGTGGGCATCTGGCAAAACTGCGGAGAGAACCTGGCACGTTAGTGAAGTACAAACTGTCCCAGGGTCTAAGACACAGCAGTCACCCCTGCCTCAGGCTCTGGGCATATTTGCTGCAAAGGATCCCTCTTGCCTTCCCCCTGCCCCACCCCTATGTCCACATCTTGGTTTTGTCTTCGAGTGAGAATGTCACTCTCTTGGGGCAGCTGGGCCACTGGGGAAGACACTGGGCCTCAGACCACACTGTGTGGCCACTGCCCACTTACTCATGCCCTTCGGACCTCAGTTTCCCCATCTGTCAGAGGTAGATGATGACCTCACCTGCCAGTTTAGGGATGAAGTGACAGAAAGAGGCATGGGTATCACATTGAGGTGGGCCAGAGCCTCTGCCGGGAGAGAAGGAGCAGGGGTCAGGCAACTTCCTAGTGGGTCTACTTTCCACAGACATCACCCACCTCACAGACCTCCCCCCACCGTGGACAGGTACTGCAGTGCCCACAGAGGCCTCCCCAGTATTGGCGGTCAGCAGGTCCCGTGTAGAAATGGCCCTGACAAGGCAAAAGCCATGGGCTCTCTGAGTTTATCCACTTGTATGCCACCATCTGGCCAAAAATCACACTAAGACACTGTGGAGCCAGCCCATGGCATGGGGGTTAAGGCAGCTGGATCCCATGTGGCCAACTGTGTGGTTGAGTCCTAGACCTGTAGGCTTGAAAAACATCCAGGGCACATGTGCCTGTGTGCCCAGATCCTGAAAGGAGGGAGAGAAGGAGGAGAAAGAAGATTGTGGCATGACTGTCCTCCATGTGGGTGGGGTGCTTTCCCACTTTCCTTCTTTCTCTCTCTTTATCTCTCTCTGAGATGAGTGCATGCACCCTCTGGCAAACAAAGAAGGATGGAAGGAAGGAAGGAAGGAAGGAAGGAAGGAAGGAAGGAAGGAAGCTGAAATAACTGCAGAGATTCATGATACTGTGAACACCCAAAATCCGCAAAGGAGGAAGAGATGAAAGAGGAGAGATTGAGACACCATCATGCCCCATGGTGTGTGGGCATGTGGGGTACTTTCTCTCTTTTTCTTTCTCTGGCAAGTTTATGTACCCTCTGGCAAATTTTTTTTTTAAAAAGAAAAAAGAGAGAGAGAAAGATACTCTCACTGAGTCTCAGTTTCATGCTTCTTTCTTCTACTTCAGTTCCCCACAGGGGGCAGGACCACCCACTCCTCCCCATGCCATGAGGTCTCAGGTTCCTCTCATGGGGTCTTATAGTCAGAAGCTGGGGGTGCTGAGATTCCTCAGTCTCTCCTCAGCGAGCTGTACTCTCTCCTGCTAAACATCCCTGCCTCGCCCAGCCTCCCCTCATGTTTCCAGGACTGGGGAGCTCACTACCTATCGAGCTTCGATCTGTATA